GATAATAATCCGATCAATGCTAATCTGGTAATACATTCTGGTGAACTTGCTGTGGAGAAGACTTTGACCAATGTTAACTAACACAAAAGAAGCTTGCCACGACACGGTGGAATCAGGCGCTCGTCAATTTTCGTGTATGTGAAGTTACAGGACTCACCATCTTAATTAAAGCATGGTTGTTGTTTTTTTTGGTTTAAAAATATTTTTTTTATTGCTATTGGTGAAATAAATATCCATAATTTATCTTGATTTGAAGTCGATACAACCGCTGCGATTGAAAGAGGTGTGAATGGGGATAGTCCTGGAGGGGTGGGGGGTGGAGATACCGTGGGGAGGGGAAGGGTTCCCCTGGTTTCACAGGTAAATTTAGCGAGAAAATGGCCCTCCAAAGTGGGGTGACTTCTAAAGCTTCAGTGTCTTTGAAAACTGCAAATTAATTCACATTACATTTCGTGTGCATTTGATCTGCTTTTTTCCCACCAGTAAAATCCGCACAGATATGTGTTTTTAAAATGGATATAACATGTGTCGCGCCAGAGAAAGAAACAATTTAAAATTGTCGAACGGCCAGAAAAATGGCGGTGTCTTTGATTTCATTATTTTGACTCACATAACACACTAATGCTCTTAAACATGCCCTTTTAGTTTTAGTAAGTTTTAGTTTTATGTATCGGACACATACGTCGGACCAGGGGTGGGCCAGAGACAATGCTACGTACATGTAGAGCCACTGTACAAGATAACAAAAAAACGCGAATTTGAATGTTTCATATTAACATGCGTGTTGTTATCTGCCTTTTAAGTTTCAGATAATCAAAACAGAATTAAAAAGTCGGAATGAATAAAGAATTCATGCTTTTTATAAAGTACCTACAACTAGCGCGTCTTCATCAAGCCTGCAAAATGCGCGCGTCCTCAATAAGTAGTTAACGAGAGCCTGATTTCACCACGATGTTTCACAAATCTGAGGCAGGGGAAATGACGTGAATAGCTTCCAAAATAGAGGAGCCATAAACAGAATAAGGCAGTGGGTTGTTGGCATGTGTTCTGGTGTGAGTGGTTTGTTCCTTATTCCTTATTATTAAACATCTATCGTCCATATCTCTCTTCCTTCTTTTCTGTGAATGTTACTCTTTAGTAACTTGGTGGATGTTTGGCGGGTACTCTGGTGTGGTATGCTCCTTTTTCCGTGTGGTATGCTCTTTTTTTTCCTATCAAACATATCAAACATATATCTTCCTTATCTCTCCTCCTTCTTTTCCTTGTATGTTATGCTCTAGTAGTTCTTCTAATCTTTGGTATTTCATATGACCCATTAGTGTTGTTGGTTGGCGGTTGCTGTGGTGTGGTTTTCCCCTCCTCTCCTATCAACCATCCATCGTTCTGGCCTCTCCTTCCACTTTTTTGTGTTTGTTACTCTCTTGAAACACACTCTCTGATTTACGGCACTCATATGACCTAATTGTATTGCAAATGTCATAAATTACCTACTAAAATTGTTTTAAATACCCAAACTTTTCATAGAGGCCACTTTTTCATTGTATACCCTGTCATGCGAAACCATAATAATAATACAGTAAGAGAAATCACACTCGCCTCATCATACTGTACCGCACAGTCTTCTTTTTCTTCCTCGTTCTCGATGACAGCAGCTAGACAGTCAGTCCGATGTCGCGCACAAACTGTGCAGCCCGTTTCAACTCTGAGAGACTGCCATAGAGCTTTCTCTCAAGGGGAGTCAAATTCTGCTACGCCTGTGTATGAAGGTACCGCACAGTAAAAAGTAAAGTTGTTCCCGCATCCGATCGGGACATTGGGGATTGCCTTGATAGTGAGACAACTTCCTGGGCCTTCGGCATATTGTAGTAGGGTGGCCAGTTCCTTTCCACGCCGCCTTTACTTCCCCAACTAGAAGTCAGGTACCCATTACTGCTGGGTGAGCTGGAGGGGGCGCACAGTAACTTCCCATAGCATACCAATATCTGAAATCTGTGACGTAACGTAATTATAACCCATATCCCTCATTTATTACCTAACTGCACTACACCGTAGCGTACAGTATAAACTATAATCTGGTGACGCGTGTGTTCTAGTAGTTAAGTTTTCTGTATGCTTTCCAAGAAGTAAAGATTGTTTCAAAGAATGTGGGTGGGTGGAGTGCGCCACTAGTAGGTCCTACTTGTTTACTTTCCCCTCAGTTGTTTCTGTCTGTCCGTCTGTCTGTCTTACGTTTTCTCAGTACTAAATTATGACCTTTATAAATTGTATCGATGTGCTTTCTTTACTCAAACAAAACAAAATTGAATCAGAATACTGTCAGGTCTGCTGGAGTAATAGTTTAGATTGTAAAGCTCATAGAGCTTGCTGTTGAGCTGGAATTTTTGTTCTAAACAAATGCCATTTTATTTCATTATTTGTCTGACTCGTAACCGAAAGGTCACGGGTTCGAACCCCGTCAATTGTATTTTCGGAAAGGCACTTTATACGAATGTTCCTCATTTCGCCATAGTGAGCATGGGTACCCAGCTATAGACTGCGAAAGATCTTGGCCATGTATTATTAGTGTTTGAGCGACTAACAGGCTGCTTTCTCTGTGGGCTTTCCTATGTTGAGCGAAATGACAAAAATTATAGAAAAATTGCCAGAAGAACTGAACAATGCTGGTTTCTTCGATATAATTATCCCTACGAGCGCCGGATTTCACCACGCTGCCTTTAATGGTGAATGTGAAATACATTTTTACACGCACACACATATTATGTCCGCACATTGTGTCAATTTTTACATTCAGATCTGCATGAGTGCTCAAGTGCACGCCCATAGAGTACTATGGAGTAAAAAGGGCGCTTTATGGAGATGCATGCACGTGTCTAGTGTATGCTGTGTTCTCAACAATGCCCGCTGCCGTGTCTTTGAAAAGACCTGCTCAATGTTTCATAGAGTGTGTATCATAAGTAATGTACACCGTCCCTTTGGGCAAATCCCCCGTATTGTACTGAGACAGTTTTTGCCATGGCTTGCGACCCATTTGGCTAGGGGGCGTGTGTTGCCTGATGAATGTTGTAGTTATGATTGATTTACGCCCCCATCGACTCAATTTGGATAAAGGACAAGGGTTGACTTCACCCTGTTTGTCAGAGTCAATCCGAGCTGAGAGAGAAGCGACGTCCCTGAATTCAGACGAAGATACTCCAGAAAAAAACGATCTTCCCACATGGGAATAGAACACACGTTTTCAGCATGCGATGGCTAAGTCCTTGACCATTAAACCATAGATGCTGATATATACTCCTTGGCACAGTGATTAGACTACCGGGCCTGCAATCGTGGGAATGCGAGTTCGGAGGTTTGAGCCTCAGCTCGGTCCGACGTTGTTCTCCTTGGGAAAAACACTTTAATTAAATTATTTGGCTTGGTCTATTCGGAGATAGACGTTAAACTCGGATGTCTTGCCTTTGGAATAACATAACAGTGCTTACAGAGGCGTCAAACCTATACCATTTCACTTTCCGAAAATAATTTGGTAAGTGAAAGTCATGATTATTGACCAAACGAGAGAGATAAGAAAAAAAGAAAGAAAGAAGACAATAAGACTGGGGAAAATAATAAGGAGAAAGCCGTCGAGCTTGTAATATGCTGCCGTTTGTTTGTTTATTAATATGTTTTTGTATGGACGTATGGATGTATGCATGCATGCGTGCATGCGTGTGCGTATTTTTCCTTTGTTCTTGGATTGTACAATTCCTCTGTACCCGACCAGGACAGTCGTTGTTCTTATGAGAATCGCCCGATGAATCAAAGCCATTGTCACTATCTTCGTCTTTGTTACTATTGTTATCTTTTGCATTGTCACTATCCTCGTCGTTGTATCTATTGTTATCGTTTTCATTGTCTATACTGTTGCTGTTGTCGTTGCTATCATCAATGTCATTCTGTTGTCAGTGTCAGCGCCGTTATCATTATTGAAATCGATATGAGATTTTTAAGAATATACTTTGAAAAGAAAGACATTAAGTCTAGATGTCTAATATGCATCAAGTGTTTAGATTTTATCGACAACAATATTTTCGTGTATTCCCACATGATTCAGACTCTTGCGGTTTCAAAGGTTTAGTTTTGGTATACAGACGACATTTTCTTTTTTTCGCAAACTGAATAGAACGGCGAATACTGTGGGGGTGGGGGTGGGGGAAGGATGGGTTTGTTTGTTTGTAGAGGAGGAGGGTGAGTTGGAGTGATTTGGGGGTGGTTGGGGGGGGGGGTCCTGGGGCCATGGGACAATGTTGACCTTTGTGTCACTTTTTAATAGAAACTAGACATTCTTCAGAACTCAACATTTATAGGAAGGTGGTATTCAACATTCTCAAGAACATAATAGAGCCAGCTTTTCATAATTTTATTTTTTGAGCTGAAGAATTTGTAAAGCTATTGGGTTCGATCGCTATTTATCGTTAGAAAACACTTCAGAATTGAGCAATTTCCTAATAGAAGGTTTACTCTTTAGAACAAGTTGAAAGCTTGTTCATAAGCTCATGTTCGCCTCGGCTCAGGCTCACACTGCCAAGCCTGTGTCGGTGACACGGCGTGTTGGTGTGTAGTCACTGGGGGTGTGTGTGTGTGTGTCCTTGAGCAACACACCATAACCTAAAGCTAACCCCCCCCCCAAATTCTTTGTTTCTACCTTCACATATGTTGAAATATTCTTTGCTTTTACCTTCACATGTGTTGAAATATTCTTTGCTTTTACCTCCACATGTGTTGAAATATTCTTTGCTTTTACCTCCACATGTGTTGAAATATTCTTTGCTTTTACCTCCACATGTGTTGAAATATTCTTTGCTTTTACTTCCACATGTGTTGAAATATTCTTTGCTTCAACCTTGTTTCTACCTTCACAGAAGTTGAAATACTCTTTGCTTCTTACCTTCATAGATGTTGAAATAGTCTTTGTTTTTTTACCTTCACAGACATTGAAATATTCTTTCCTTCTACCTTCACAGATGATATGGGCGTGCAACCTGTGCAAGAAGAAGCAGGACCTGCTGGCAAAGACGGGCGCCTGGTACCACGGCGGGATGGCGCGCCCGGTCGCTCTGGACGTCGGCGACACCGCCTCCGGAAGTGACGCGGCTTCCACCAAGACAGACGTCAGCCCGTCCACGGAAAAGCGCGCGAAAATGATGGAGAAAGGCCAGCACGACAGCAGCCAAGGGTCGGAGAAGGAGAACTTCGACAGACAGCGTAGTTCCTTTTCGCGTGCGGGCAGCCTGCAAGGGAAGGAACTCAAACGCCAGTTCTCCATGTCGGACGCCGTCAACAGGGGGCACGACTCCGGACTTGGGGGATCTACTACATCATCGTCCTCCCAACAGGGCTCTCTCAACGCCAGCCAGACCAGCGGTGGGACGAGCGTGGGCTCCCTCGGCGAGCAGGAGAAGCTGAGGGACCACGGTCAGATTTTGGACAGGGGCCGCGGGAAAGACCGCGGTCAAGCCAAGCATCGGTTCCACAGCGAGTCCAGGATATCGGATACGGACCGGCGATACGCGAACGAGACTCAACACCACGGGGAGAGAGACCGCCACAATAAGGTGGATCGCTGGGATGGAGGAGGAGGAGGAGGGGGAGGAGGGGGAGGACGTGAAGGAGGAGGAGGACGTGAAGGAGGAGGAGGGAGACACGAGGAGAGAGGAAGTGGCTCCTCGTCCGGTCACAAGGGAAGTCACTCCGAGGATAGAAAAGGAGACCACGGGAGTTTTCGGGGTGACCCAGATCCCAGGGATGGCGACCGCAAGTCGGAGCGGCATCGGTGAGTAGAGTGGGGTCTCTTGATGGATGTTTTGTTCGCATTTCGTTGGTGTCCTACGTAAACCGTGATTCCGCCAAATAAGATCAAAGATTTCTTTTTTTTCCTTTTGGGACGGAGAGGGGTGTAATTGCTTTCTTATAATCATCCAGATTTGCAGAAAAAGTTAATAATAAATAATAATAAATAGCATTTGTATAGAGCATATCCCCGCTCAACAGCAGGCTCTATGCGCTTTTACACTATATTATTACCCCATCCGACCATAGAACATTCCGAAACATTCTCAGCTTCCCGGGAAGCATACAGTGCAAGCAGCTGATTAAGCGCTCAAAGACTAACAAACTGACAAGATCTTTCGCTGTCTATAGCCGGGTACCCATTCCCACCTGGGTGAAGTGAGGAAAATTCGTGTAAAGTGCCTTTCCCAAGGACACAACGTTGGGCCCCTGACGGGATTCGAACCCACGACCTTACGGTTGCGAGTCCGAGAGCCTAACCACTAGGCCACCGACGCCAGATTTATTTTTTTCTTTGTGGGACGGAGGGGGGGGGGGGTGTAATTGCTTTCTTATAATCATCCAGATTTGAGAAAAAGTTAAATAAAATGTTCTTTTTGCTTATTGTAATAAGGTCAACTGTAATTGCAGTCGTGAATAAAATAATGACACTTTGAGACAAAACAAATTATGCGTTTGACCTAATTTGGCAGATACACGGTTAGAGTTAGACGTTGACGATTTCTTTCTCAGTGCAGAGCTTGTTTTCTCTTCTGTCTGTTTGTTTGTCGGACTGTTTGTATGTATATTTGTCTATCTGTTTGTCTATCTATGTGTCTGTCTGTATGTGTGCCTGTTTGTCTGTATGCATGTCTGGCGGGTTGGCTGGTTGGCTGGTTGGCTTTATGACTGTATGTCTGTCTGTGTGTCTGTCTGTTTGTCTGTCTGTCTGTCTGTCTCCGAGTGTGCAAATGTGTGTTTCTCTCTGTCTGTTTATCAGTGTTTCTGTATATAGATTGATCTCCCACTCACTTCCCCCCCTCCCCCCCCTCTCTCTCTCTCTCTCTCTCTCTCTCTCTCTCTCTCTCTCTCTCTCTCTCTCTCACACACACACACACACACACACACACACACACACACACACACACATAAACACACACACACATTTTATTTATTTATTTATTTATTTATTTATTTGTTTATTTATTAGGGTGTCTTGTATTCATCCATATTAGGCAGTACTATACCTTCCTTTCAAGACAAGTCTCAAGTGACGTGGAGAGGCTAGTGAGTTTCATTTCTCTGGGACATACCAAGTTACGAGAACTCTCACAGAGTATTTATTCAGTTAACCATCTCTGTTCATATTTAATTTTAATGATATTTTTATATTGAAGTATGGGCATATTGGTAGGTGGTTGGCGGGTGCTCTGGTGTGGTTTGCTCCCTCTTTCCTATGAAACATCTATCGTCCTTATCTCCCCTCATTCTCGTTTGTCACTCTCTTGTAACACCTCTAATCTTCTACCACTCTTACATCTCCCCCCGGGTGCGGTGCTGCTGACTGAAGAGTCTTTAGGCCAATACCAAAGGGGGGGGGGGGGGGGGATATTATATCTCGAGTTCGTATTCACCTTAGAATTGTCATTGTAAATGGGCTGATTCATCAATGTCATGCTTATAACTGTGCCTGAATTGCAACAGGGAACTGCTGGTTTTTCTTTCCTAATCCTTACTATCCTCATTTTTCCTCTACATCTTTTGTATGTTTGTCACACTCTTGTGGCCTGCTATTCCCGTGGTGCCTTGATGGTCGAAGCAGGCTTTGTGCTGTTGAGGCTAGAGAGGTGACCAGAGTAAGCGTGATTCCCCGTTTGGACTTCTCTCTGTTGACATCCACGTCTTGGCGCTCCTATGACCTTAAGCAGTTCCGAGCGCCATAAAACCTCCACTAAAACTAAACTCAATCTTCCCCAACACTGAATGCCCGTTATTACGTCAATGTTTTTCTCTTTACTCAACCCCCCCCCCCCCTTTTTTTTATATTTCTCCCTGTGGGTGGTTGGTGGGTGCTCTGGTGTGGGTTTCTTCTTCTTTCCTATCAAACATAATATATCGTCCTTTTCTCCCTTCATTCTATTTTGTTTGTCACTCAATTGCAAAACCTCTAATCTTCGGCACTTTTATCACCATATTATGTGAGGCAGCGTGGTGGAATCAGGCTCTCGTCAATTTCGGGGCATTTAGAGTTATTGGTATCTTCTTAAAGCTTGCTCGGTTGTCTTTATTTGGATGAAAAAAATATCCATTTATCTTGAATACAAGTAGAGATATTTGCGAATGAAGGAGGTGGGGGTAACCTGTTTTCAGAGGTAAAATTAATGAGAAAATGGCTGTCAAAGATTATTTATTTCCCTAGCTTTAGAGTCCGTGGTAACTGAAAATTTCCATTTTTTTGTGCGTTTAATCAACGTTTTTCAGAAAAATCCACACAGAAATGAGTTCTTTAAAGGGCATGAAATGTGTTGAGCCAAAAAAACAAAAAATTCACAAAAATTCACAATCGTGTGGAAAAATGCAAATTTCTTCACTTTCATTATTTTGACGAGAGCCTGATTCCACCACGCTGCCTCACATATTGTTATTGTGTTGCAAGTACCGTAAAACCTTTACCAAAACTAAACTCACCTCTTGGCCCTCATATGACCTACGCAGTTCCGAGCGCTGTAAAACCTCTACTAAAACTAAACTCACCTCTTGGCCCTCATATGACCTACGCAGTTCCGAGCGCCGTAAAGCCTCTACTAAAACTAAACTCACTCTTTCCCTACGCTAAATGACCGTTATTGTGTCAATGTTCTTCTCTTTACTCAAACACACACACACACACACGCACACACACACACACAAACACACACACACACACAAACACACACACACACACACACAAACACACAAACACACACACACACCCACAGCCCCTGTTTTTCATGAAAAAGAAGAGATGGGAACAGCAGTCAAACGGCAATAAAACTAGTAGACAGAGGGTGGAAGGGGTGGG